CTGGGAACTGAACCTGGGCAGCCAAAGCAGAGCATGCCAAACTTAACCACTAGGCCACCGGCGCTGGCCAACAAATATTTTTTTAAAAATCAAAATTAAGGCTAAAAAACTCCATAATGAACAAAATATCAAAATTTTAAATAAAGTCAGGATCAGTAACAATGCCATACTGAGCCTCAGACAGAAAGAAAAAATTAGTGATAGCGATCCTGTCTTTTAAAAATTATTATTATTTACATTTTTACGCCCAAGGTATGTGCCTGACTCACATCACCCTAGTCCTGGCCCTGGTCCACCTCCACTTGATATATTTCACTGTCCAACAGACTGTTTCATCCTGAAATCATCATTAGAATGTTACTTCTGGCCTAGCATTTAGAATATACCACGGACAATAAGAGCTAATTCAAAACACTCTATCTAGATGCATTAGTTGTTTCTTACTTTTTCCCTTGCCATTAACAAGTACAGCCAACCCCAGACAAAGAAATAAACACCAGTCACCTATAGTCCTGAATTTTTTAAAAGGCCTCAACCGAGCATTCAAAATGAGATGTATTCATGCTGTATCTGATTACATGTGCCTTTGACGTGAAACTAGACCTATCTTATCTAAATAGACACACAGAAACCATGGCTCTGATTAACGTTATCATTTAAACCATGTACTGTACTTCTCATAGGAACTAAGAACATTTGAGAAAAATCAGTGTGTAAGAATAGAATAATCTATATAATAAACGGCTTCCAACTGAAAATACGCCCAGAAACGGTTGGGTGTAAGAGCAAGTACAGTGGTTCTGCATGCTTAAGTTAAAATTTGGGAAGAAAGCATGCTATAAAAAGTACCCAAGATTCCCACTCACTCTCAAAAAGTTCGCTTGAATATATCATTTTTACTGAAAGTGACAGACTTGTGTGTAGCTACTCATGGATGCATATAAAGAATTAAGTTATTGCCATGTATTAAAGAACTTAAGAGGAGCATTGTAATGTTAGAGCTGGTGATAGATCGTGAATGCTGGTCTTCAGTAATTACACTGGACCGGGAATAAATTTAAAGTAAGTTTGCATCAATCATCATCATCATCCACAACAGCTTGGTGGAAAGAGAAGATACAAGCTGTGGAGGTGGATAGGACTAACGGGAAAATTCAGTTCTTTCCTAGCTGTCTGACCTTGGCCCCTTTCTGTGCCTATTTGCTCAACTGTGAAATGAGCCTACTTTGCAGGGTCACCACAGGAATGAAGTGGGACAAGATACACAGAGCACCTAGCAGAGGCCTGCCTCATGGGGAGCCCTGATTAAACCGTAGCTGCTCTTATCACCACCTCCAGCACCATAGGCTTTGTCAAGTGTTTGAAGGTTATCTGATTCTGAGACAGATCAATGACAGAGTTTTTCAAGAAAAGGAAACAATAATGGTGTGACTAGAGGAGAAGGGCAGAGGGGCCCAGATGTCCTGTTGAAGGCAAATCCTATTTGTCTACATTTCAGTGCCGGGTACCTAAGTGTGAACATTTAATTCTTATAATACTTACAGGGAAAAACTCTTGAGTTGAGTGATATCCCTTTAAAAAGAGGCTCTTTTCTTGCCAAAAAAGAGCAGCTGATCACAGTCATGGTTACTATGTACAGTTTTGTCCTTGACATTTTAAAAGATCCAGATAAGAGCTTCAAAAGTTCATCCAAAAGTGGAGAGAAAATAGGTGGTGGGAAGAAAGGCTACAAGAGAGTTGGAATCATTCACTCCAGACAAGAGAGGGTTTGACAGATTTCAAATGTTAAGTATTTTGATGCTGCTACTCTGTTATCTTCATCTTCATCAAAGTCCTCCTATCAATGTTTTTCTTGGATGGATGATTTCCCTTCTTGAGAAAATGGGGTCAACCAGATGATCTTGTGAGATCTCTTCTAGTTCTAAGCCTTTGTGCAAATAAGGAAGAGCAGATGGACACTTGGCTTATCAATGTTGGGTGGTTTTCAGTTGTGTCCTGTTTAAAATGAGGTTGAGGTAGCTCGGCACAGTGGAAAGAGTGAGAGCCTGGAGTCAGGCGGAGCTGGGTTTGAATTTGCCTCTGAAACTCACTATTGGGCAAGTTATGGTAGTGAAAGAACTCAACCCTCTTCTCAGCTATAGCATGGAGATCATCTCTGCCTGGTAGGGTTCCTGAAAGCATTAACTAAACTAATGTTGACAGAGCACCTAATATTTTGACTGGCAAATTGTAGGCCTTTGATAAATTGGAGCTATTATTCTAGTTGGCTAAAAAATGGTTTGAATAGTTGCCTTTAAATCAGGAAGGGAGCAATGACATTCTGGTTATAGTTATATCACGCTAGGAAAACTGCAAATTCAAGTTAGTGGATACCACCTTGACCCACAGGATTCACTCTGCAAACTAGAGCTTCTCCATGCCAAAGAATGTTTGAGATGGCAACTTAACTACCTTAGTGCTAAGAAGCAGAAGAAACTGAAGGCAAGGTCTAAGGCATCTCAGTATGAATCTGGTTTCTTTCACTGTCATCACAGGAATCAAATTAATTATTTTAAAAAAGTTCCAAATACATTTCCAAGTATAAGGAATATATCACGTTCCACTGACTTGTAATTCACACCAAGTACAGTAAAAACATCAGTCAAAAAATAGGTTTGCAAACCAAATGGATTGTCAGAAACTGTAATTAGGATTTTTCTCCTTCACAAACGATATAAAGCTAAAAATGGAAGTCATAAAGAAACTAAACAGCTTTTGCACAACAATGAAATGCAGTGGTCAGAGCCCTACACTGAATAAAAGAAACTCCTACTGCTATCACAGTTTTCCACGAAAGGTAATTTTTTGGTGCTGCATCAATGTGGTATTACATAGTTAGTGTTTACAGAAAGATGCTGGAGGCCAAGACTGGACAGCTCTGGCTTTTGTTCTTTACCAGTGGTGGGGTCTGTGGCAGGAGGCCTGGAGGCTGTGGAGAATCGAAAAAGACAGGAAATACAAGGTACAAACATGCACATAAAGTGAGGCCCAGGGAGAACTCGGCCAGAAACACGGGATGCTTCCTGAAACCCCTCTGTGTCACTTGGAGAATCAAACTTGGCTTGGAAAGCGCATCCTGTTTCCATCAAAGGGGGAACGGGTTGCAGTTGACAGAATCAAACATTACAGACAAGGGAGCAGAACAATGCACTTTGAACTGATGGAGCGACAGGAAAAAGCAGCTTATGTTTGGTTGGGAGTGAACAAGCACAGGCATGACACGTCGTAAAACGATTCCAGATACATCAGGGAGCTGGATGAGGCCCAGTGGAGATAACAGTCAATACTAGATCTATGAAAGCCACTGTGCCATTAACTCCATTGTAAGCAGGAATCACACGTGATGATGAAGCAGCCCTTAAATTATCAAAATACGAGTTTTATATTGTGGGGATAAGTTAAAATTCATTATTTCAAAAGCATACATTTCAAGTGGCAACAAACTACTGAGCTGTTGATCTAGTTGACAGAAGCTAAACCCAAATATCTCATCAAGTTCCTCTTTAGGCCCATCATTGCCACACCTTTTTAGAAGTGAGGGTACAAAAAACCCTTTGAAATCTATCACATCTCTCCTTACTTGGCTTAAAGTCATCCTTTTATTATGCTTCCTTAAAACCATCGGTATTACAAATCTGACTGCATAGTACGTACAAACAGGTTCATTTATTATTATTTTTTATGTGTGGAATATTGGACAAAAGAAAAAATCAAAATGGCAACTAAGAATCAAGAACATCATGGAAAGAAAAAAAAAGGAAATTCAAGGAGGAGAAAAGTATCTAAGACGTTGGATATTCACAAGTGCTTGTTACTAAGGGGACATTAAACTCAAAGTTTTACTTCCATATGTCTCTTTCTGAGTCCCCTTGAACAAAACCAGTCCAATCGCAGATTCTTTCAGTGTGTAAACTACTTCTTAGGTAGAAGGCAAACTCTTTCAGCAGTTTATTCAATCTTTTAGACCGCTTGGATAAATGCCAATACAAGCCTATTCAGAGGGTTAAGAGAACTACTGGCTTGAAGAAATAGAGGTACTTTCAGAAATGCTTATCTCAATACCAAGGAGTAACTCATGTGCTTGGAGCCTCTAATCCAATCTGGGAGGTAACATGACGTTTGATGTTAACAAAGGATAAGTGATCCATGAGACCTAAATTCTAGACTTAAAATGAAATGTGTTAATTTACAGTTAAGGGGTAAGGACATCTCCTCATCTGGATTTTGATCGCTATAATGCATTCACTGAGAGAAACTTTAAGTTATGGTGACAAGGAGAAGTTGCTACATATTTTAAGGCACTTTGACCATGTTTCTATTCATATTAATGTCCTTCTAGATTAATCTTCCCTTTACTGAATTTTCCCTCCTTTTTTTTTTAATGAAAAATAGACACTTGTGCTTCAGTTCATTTTGGAAATGTGCCTTGTGAAGGACTTCAGAGACATTTTTCTTTCTTTTTAAAAATGACCTTCAAATAAAAATAATAGACTTTTCAGATAACAAGGCTCAAAGCAAATAACATCAGACTCTGCTAGTATGGTCATGAAAAGACCACAGAGACCTTCCGAAGTGGGGTGGCCAAGTGCTAAAATAACTTAAAACATTCTAACAGAAGGCAAATAAAGCATTATCCAGGAAAACAGCAATCAAAGCAGCCCAAGGCTGGAGGGCACAACAGAATTCTCGTCTAGCAAACGTCCCAGTTTAACTAGCACTGGGTGTTTTAAATAAAGTACTTCCTGAGAGGAACCAAGTGGCAAGGCAGACAGCTTTTCTTAACATCAGGAAACAATGCTGTTCTGGTTTTTTTTTTTTTCTTTTCTTTTCTTAGACACAGTGCAGAACCCAACACATTTCAAGGCCATATGATGTGGTTTCTGTTGATTTATGAAGCAGCTGCGGGTTTGGGAAAGGAAATTGTACTCAAGCTGAACTGAATTGCACCAGTCTTGGTTTACCTGCCATATGCAAAACGCCTGTCTTTGTGATGATCGCCAAAAGTATCCCAAAGCCTGAGAGAAACGCTCACTTCATCAACAACATCCCGGGAACGCTCCAAGACCTGCAGGAGAGAGAGCATCCATGCTCAGCGTCAGAAGCTCCCCAGGAGAAGGATATCCAGGTCAGCACCCCTCAATGCCCACTTGCATTTAGTTTTCTCATTCCATCTAACAGGACTTAAGGTAAGTCCTAATTCTCTTCCTGGAATCACATGACTCAAACCCTCCTCAGTCAGGATACCATAGCTATACTCCCAAGTTTGCATTTTCCTTTTGTTTTCTCTTGTTGCACTAACAAGATTAGCTTTGTTTTGAATGTACAAGTTAACCCCTCCCCCACTTTTAAAACTCAGAGTGGCAATAGCAGTGACGTGCCCTTAGCATTCTAAAGAAACTCCCTACATCTTACCTCCTGGCAGACCCGGTACTGGTCAATCGCCCACACTGTTGGTACGTGGGTGGCCAGCAGCTGATACTGCGTTAGCGTCGTGTTACACGCTCTGGCACAGATCAAGCGTGTCTTCCCCACAGCGTTGTCTCCCACGACCACACACTTGATGGTTTCAACGTTGGGTCTTTCGTAGTCCATGTCAGTGTCCATTTATAAAACTCTAGAAGAAGAGAGTGGACACCACGTTAAAGACCCCTGGGCTTTCCAGAGCAATCAAAGACATTAGGGGTTCAGGCGATTTTCCCTTTGTACAGGCACTTCTTTGGAGATGCCCAAGCATAAGCAAGACATTTGGAAGTTCGTACTAAGCCCAAATGAAACTCAAGTTTTCTTTTTATATCTCACACAAGTATAAAAACACCGGATTGTTATTTTGACCCCAAACGGTTTATTCCGGTTAACATGTTATTTTCTCCTTGGTTTTCTCTAAACACAACCTGCCTACTGGAGATCCATCCAGGCGAGTCAGGACTGCTGGCACACATTTATAGTTCACTAGCTACTCATGTTGACCTGCGAAAGAGACTGGGCACCTGCAGGTTTAACCTTAGACATTGGGGCATAAGCTGCCTCGGCAAGACTAGTGTCCACACCATCACAATCTTCCAATGATCCAATCTCTGTCGCTGGAAAGCAGTTTTCTATAAGTTCTAAACTATCATGGTGTCTTAGAGGAAAATCAAAGTGCAAGCAGAAAGGACTACCTGACTTTAAAGAAGAGCAAACTGTAAGGCTGAATTTTGATACATTAATAAAAATTATATTTATTCATTCATATATAGTTAATCAAATTCATAAAAAATTATATTCTCAAGAGGAGCACCATAAAGCAAGATTTTTTTTTTTTAATTCTCCTCTTCTCTGTGTTTTTATGAAGAAATCTGGAACATATGGTAAGAATGATTTTACCAGGATGAGGAGCTACTTTGGAATCTTCCTGAACCATCAAAAAAGGTTTAAAGGGGGTTGCTGGCGAGGGGTCAAAAGAAAGAGGGAGAGCTGCTGGCAGCTCTGCTTCCTGGGGACAGGAACCTCCACCAACTTCGGAGCAGCTGGATGGGCGACCAACCATGTAAAATTTTAAGATTTTAATGTATCATAATTGCCCTTTTGAGGAAGTCTACTGTTAAACTGAGAAAACTGGTTAGACGGTCATTTTTTTTTAAAGAGTTGATAATGGTCTTAATGGCCATGGTAAAAAAAAAACTGCTCAGAGGAGGGCCTAACACATAATTGAGACTCAGTAAGTGTTTGTTTAATTAAACTAATTTGAGAAAAATGATAATTCAGACAATATGAGATTAAGGGTATAAAGGGAGAGATAGAAGGAAGAATGCTAAGAATGCCTTTTCACAGTTAGGACCATCTGAACACGGACTTGTCTCCTGTGACCATCACAGGTGTTAAACCTGAGGCTGGGGAACTATTTAGAAGGAATGGAATGGAGTGATTCGAGGAACAGATGTGTGGTGAGGTTAGGATCTCATCTGTAGTTCCTACACCATGGAGAGGTTTAAAACAGACAGATACCTGACCCCCACCTGGCAAATGCTGATGCTGAAGGTCTTAGGTGGGGAGAAGGAGTCTTTAAAAATCTCCAATTCTGATGATTAGCCAGGTGTGGTGACTCCTAAAATCAATATCTTTAAAATTTAGCCTTAAAATTCTATGGTTTTATTAGTTCCTTATTTAATAGTATAATGTGGCTAAAGCATGACTTTGGCACTGGATGAGTGGTTCTTAAATACCAGCCAGAGAACATCTGGCAACGTCTGGAGACATTTTTGGTTGTCACAATGGGGTATGGGGAGTGCTACTGGCTTCCGGTGGGCACAGGCCAGAGATGCTGCTAAATATCCTACAATGCACAGGACAGCCCCCAGCAACAAAGAATTATCTGGCCCTAAATGTCATAGTGCAAGGTTGAGAAACCCTGCCTTAGACGGATGTGAGTTTGAATCATGGTCTCTCCACTTTCCAGTCAGTCCTCTGACTTTGGGCAAGTTATCTGCACTTTCCGAGCCTCAGCTTCCTCACCTGTTGAGTGGCAATTCTAGTACCCATCTCCTAAGGCTGTTATGAGGATTAGGTGGACTGATGTTTTCAGTCCCCAGTGCAGGACCTGATACACTGAGGCTTCAAAACTTATAATCATGTTGCTGAAGATGAACACCTTTAGAGGACAACAAAATTGAGCCAGGTGGAAGACTAGAATTAGATGCAAAATCATAAACTTAATCACAAAGATCTATGAAAATGATAAATTTTAGGAGAGCAATTAATGGGTAATTCATTGAGAAACGAAGAACAGAAATACAAGATTGAGCATGGCTAACCTTATGTAAAGAAGGCAGAAAAAGTTCTGGGTGAGGAGCGGGGAGGAGAGGAGGTCATAGTTAACTAAAGGATAACAGAGTTGGAAAGGTAGGTTAAAAATATTTTTATGGGGCATTTCTAGATTCTAGAATAAAAATTGTAATGCTTCTTTTTTTTTTTGTGAGGAGATCAGCCCTGTGCTAACATCCGCCAATCCTCCTCTTTTTTTTTTTTTTTTGCCGAGGAGGACGGCCCTGGGCTAACATCCGTGCCCATCCTCCTCCACTTTATATGGGACGCCGCCACAGCATGGCCTGCCAAAGCAGTGCGCGGTGCGCGCCCGGGATCCGAACCAGCGAACCCCGGGCCGCCGCAGCGGAGCGCGCGCACCCAACCGCTTGCGCCACCGGGCCGGCCCCTGTAATGCTTCTTAACAGTCTTTGACAAATTTCTGCTGATATTACCATGAGGTAATATCATGGTAAAAACAGGTTCCATTTGGAGCCTCACAACTCTGGACCTACGGTATATTACTTTCAATGTCCTAAGTGGTGGAAAACCTTACTCTTTTGAGAGTGAATATTATTTTATTTTTTTTGGATACATAAAAGTCATAGAAAGCCAATCCCTAAAATTTGGAGGAATGTTTGGATTTAGTCAAAATTGACATATGACAAAAAATATAGAATTGGCTTTCTTGTTGGCTTATAAACTAACACTCATAGCAGCCCTCAAAGAGGAATCTCCCAAATAATTTGAATCATGGCAGCATTGGTGAAATAGCTGTGTAGCGCTCATAGAAGATGACTTTGAGGGGGACAAAAGCCCTCATAGTTCTATATTAAGGGTATCATTATAAAAAATATCATTACTATACTTATTTATAGACACATCTCATGCACAGTCCTAAAAAAAATTTCTGTGTCAAAGGTGAGAATAACATCTGTGGCTCCTCTAATCTCTAGTAATCTCCTCAAAACCGAAGTGACTGCCAGAGGTGCTGAACCTTGTGCAAAGGGGACAACATGTAAGGGAAATAAGAGACAAGGCAAAATTAAATCCTCACGGCTCAGATCACTCACTTTAGACACGGAGTTTCCAGGAAGGGTTTCCTGGATTTCCCAATACTGAAAATTTTTTCTTTGGGGTAGAAATCTATTTTGTGGTAATCTAAAAAGCACTTAAGAGTATGAAGTCACAGCCAAGGATGTAAACTCATGCTACACTTGTATTGCTGTAAACCAATTGTTCATCTGTTATACATAAACAAATAAGCATTAAATTATGATAATAATTAGAAAAATATGCAATCTTTTTCTTCTTGTTATGGGTTCTAATTTATTCATATCTAGCACTCTTATGGTTGAATGAGCTCTTAGGACCATCTGGATAATGACTACCTGGTTTATGATTTTTATTTACCTAGAATGAGAGTAATAAATATTATTCAATTAACTCTGTTAATAAATTTCACCACCATAAATCTTACTGATCTATGCAGATACCCTTTCACATTTAGATACATATCTGAGGAGACAAGGAAGGTATCAAAGAAGAAGAAAAGCTAGAAGGAACTGACACTGGTAACCTGTTACTATGGCAGCTTTGTAATCTTACTCAGAACCCACTTGAACTTCATTTCATACTTTCACTGAATCATCAGGACATGGATCCTGATAGTTAAAATGCTACCTGAAGAATCTACCTGCACACTGTGGAATTCAGAAACGGTAAGTTTATTTAAAAATTGGCAAGTGAACAAGACAACGTGGAGGTTGGGAAGTAAAGGATTTGGTGAAATGGTGCAAGGTGGATGCTGCTCTGAGTGTCAGTGCCCACCATCCACGAGGCTGACTCAGAACAGTGTGGTCATATCTTCTGGCTATCAAATTAGCCCACTTGCCTTGATTATCCCATATCCGCCTCCACCATTATTATTGTCATCTACTGGACTTCAGCTCACTCCTCCACGTTCACCACCACCAACTCAGCCTTCTTGTTGTTATGCTAGCCCATACCCTAGCTTCACAGTTTCTTCACCTCTTCAATGCCAGTGATCTTTGCCACACCCTACTTGAGCCATTCATACTTTTGGCCAGGTGCTGGATACTGCTGTCATCCAGAAACATTTTATCTCTGAAATCTTGAATTTCAAAATCCTACTCTCAGAGCAAAAACTCCTCTTTCCAGCCTGTGCTAGATGAAATATGGCCGCTGCAGCAACTCCAATCGGGAAACGGCACCTATTTCCCTTCCTCTTGAATTTGAGGATAATGATTGCTTGGCCCAACCCAAAAGAATGTGGTGGAGGTGATGCTGGGTGAGTTCTGGAGTCAAGGCCTCCAGAGGCCCTGCAGCTCCACTTTCATGCTGTTGGAACTCTGGTCCTGAGGTCGTCATTTAAGGAAGCTGGCCTAGCCTAGCAGAAGAGGAGAATTCAGTGAGAATAACGGAGGCAGCCCTGCCGATGGCCTCACCAAATGCCACAAATATGAGGTCATCTTGGCTCTTCTAGACCAGCCAACTCTTCAGCTGAATGGAGCTTGATGAGTGAGCCCAGGTGAAACCACCTGAGGAATCACCTAGCCAATCTACAGAATCATGAGAAATAATAAACCGTTGTTTTTGGCCACCAAGTTTTGGGGTGGTTTGTTATGTAGCAATAGTTAACTGAAACACATCCATTATACGGTAGGAAAATCTCCAGAACTTGACTTCTCCATTTTTTTTAAATTTCAGATTATAGGCCCCTTTGGGGTGAATGATCTTTTCCACTAGGGTTGATAGATCATGCCAACCTTTCTCTTCACCATCACCCTCAATGTCTTTTTGTCTTTTTTGCTG